ATTTGGACAAATATTCTGTAGACACCCCCCTCCCCCTCTTGGTGCCGCCACTGTGATCAGCCGACATGCTGACGACAGCTATATAATAAATTACAAGGTACCAGCTTGCCCTGCAATTAACTCTTGACTGATATGGAAGGATTACGCCAGCAATTAGTTTAACATGGAATCAAAACAAACTGACCTTGACTCACACGGGAACCTTTTATATAACTGATTATGGACTTGTAGAATAACAAAATAAAGGCAATACATTCAGGCCCGTAGCTAGCCCAGGGGGTGGGGGCACATTTTTTGAAGGGGGCTCAACTACAGTGACTCAACAAGTCATTTAAATCATCTAAATTTTTCAGTAGGGGTCAAATTTATTTAGTTCCCCCTCCCTCTAGCTACAGGCCTGAATACGCTTGGTCGGCTCTCCTTTTGTAAACTGTTGTTTAGGATACACAATCCTCATCAGTGCAGCTAGTTTTAGAAATGTGGGTTAAGCTATTTTCATTTTGAAATAAAACTACACAATAGGCAACAAAAATCTTTTATTAACAACATGTAATCATATTTGTCGTGGTGATTGAAGGGAGGTAACTCATTATAAATTTCAGACAACAATAAAATTATCAATTTCCTTCCCACCACAGTTCGGTATTATTTGCAGGGAATATGTATCTCCCAGAATGTACAGGCTTTCACCCACCCACTGCCAAATCTCAAGATGTTCAGAAATTGTTTGTTGGAATTTAGAGGAAACGGATAACATACGTTGGTCCCACTTTCAAAACTGTGGAAAAGGGAAGGCGGGAGATATTTGTCCCAAAATGTACAGAGATAAAACCCTTTTCAGTTTAAAAGATAGAGGAGGGGGGCCAAATTTATTTTGTGTAGAATACGAGGGAAAAGAATGACATACGTTGGTCCCACTTTAAAAAAAAGTGTGGATAGGAAATGCAGGGGATATTTATCCCAAAATGTACAGATATCCAATGTAGCTTCATAAATATATTTCGTGTAGATAAAAACACACGAAAATACGACACGGCACATATTGTGATAAAGGCAGTGGGTATTAAATTGAGGGTGGGGCAATCAGCTCCCAAAATGTACAGAATTACGACATTATATACCCAAATTAAAAGGGAACAGGGGTGGGGCGATTAGATGGATTGGGAGAGACGAAAGACAGAGGGTAGGAGTATGGGCTTGATTATATCAATTATAGGCTATATATCCCTCATGTGTCTCTCCGTGAAAATTAACACCACGTGCTACACTTTATTAACCAGACCGCAACAGACATTAAAAGTGAATGGATACAAAAAGACTTGATGACTAAATCTATATGAACACTTGTCAGTACAAGGTGTATGTTTTGAAAATGAAATATTGATTCAAATTAAGACATTGAGAGCCGAATCAAATTGATTTCACTGGTATTATACATCAAATATGAATATATTACTGTAAAGAAGCAATTGCTGAACTTTAATTGACAACAGTACTTTATGTGCGTAACATCAGGTAACTAAAAGCAAAGGCTGAGGAAATATATAGCGTCGGAAACATAAGAAATTGGCATGTTATTTTGATGTAAACGTGTACAGTATACATAAAATATATAAGGGAAAGGGTGTAGGGAATATGGGACAGAAAAGTGGAAAGAAGAGAGATAGAAGGGGGTGGGGCTAGAAGCTGGGTCAGAGAGAGGGGGGTAGGGGGAGGGGTTGTTAATTTTGAAGGATATACGTCCCGTCCCACACAGCAGCACAAAAAATAAAAATATAAACTTACGTGACCCATACACTTTGACCCTTGAACCCCAAACTGTCACTGTTTTTCTCTGTTATTTTCTGTAATATTCAAAGTTTTTCATAATTCAACTAAAATTCACAAATGTTTTTCACATAATTCCAGTGAATGGTTTCTATTTGGGCGAAATGTAGTCATTTATTATACACAGTATGAAGAGTTCAAAAGTTTAAAAAATCCAAAATTGTTAATGCACAGTGTCGTTTTTCCACAGTTTGAAATTCAAGACACAGTTTGAAACGTTCAGAAAACACACAGTTCTCGTTCACAGTGAATTTCCCACATTTTTCAATGGTTAATCACATTTTTAGCATAAATATCCATCACAATAAGTCAGAAGTTTCCAAAATTTTGTCCCATTCGTGAATTTGCAAGCACACATATACACATGTATTCCGTAAACAGATTTCCAAATAACAGGCCTAATATTTTCCCGCACTTGAGAATCTAACCGCCCTACTTCGCAGAAGCTTCTAGAATGATCCAAATTGGAGGGAAACCCCCAACTTCATCGAATGTTTTGATTAAATTGCATGAGATTCACGTGTCAACGTCAACTTCGAGTCAAAACAAACCGCTGTCTGTCGATCTGAGTAGCGATTTCATTCTTTTAAAATGGGGGAGAGGGGGTAAACTTCTGCTAAACTACCCCTTCCCGATGTAAAAAGAGCACAAAATACATGTCTTTCCCAAAAAACCTTCAAAAAATCTATAAATTTAAACCATTTTTCAAAGCAGGCAAAGATATTATAGGCCTTCGGTTTGTTATTGTATTTTTCTATTACACACTGCTTGATACGGTCTAAGGGAAGCAACTCTTGTTATTAAAAATTTACTGTCGGACCACAGTTAATTTCTGCATATGCCAAATAGCAGTCGGTTATTAGGTTGATTTGAAGTCATTTTAAACTGATTTTTCCGGTCTTTTGTGAGATTACGACGCCGTGGGGAGGCATGGGAAGGAAGAGGGAGGGAGGGGTTAAATTACCGAATTGTTTAACCCCCGTGATAACGATTTTAACGTATTTTAAAGAGGTTTTATAGCCGTTTCTATGGGTATCGGGAACACGCAAAACTTGTTAGATTTACCGTCTTACTTTTGCGGATACTGTTATTCCAGAAAAACCTTTTGGTACATTTTGTAGCCTGATTACAATTCGTTAACCTAACCTGACAGCCCGAGTTTTACGCCTTTTAAGCCCTATTTAAATTGTTTCGGCACAGTTTAGCAGTTTTCAAATGACCCTTTTGCTTTGAAAAAAAAAATTCAAAAAAATATTATCAACTATGTGAACTCCTCAAGATGGATAGCAAGTTGATAAATCCAGTCGTAGATGGGCACCAAGCGCCTTGGCGAACATTCAGAAAAATTCTTTTTGGAAGCTCTCGCGTTTTATCGATTTAACGACAGCTAAGGTACAAAATAAATTAGGTCACTATATCATTTTAACGTTTACTCTAATTAAAAACCGATCAAATTAATAAACGAGTGAGGCGACTAACTCGAGGTCAGAGTTCAAATCCAAAGTTATTCTCAAACATTTATAGAACTGTGCTCACGTTCTGTTTCATTCATGTAAACTCTAATCCTGATTAAAATTCCGTAGCTACTGATTGGACGTGCTGGTTAATCAACCAATCAGATTTAATATCGAATCGGACAAAGTTTGGAATCAAACAGTTCCTGATGAACCCATTATTGCAGAAAGGGGTATTAATTGACAACTTTTCTCCACATGTTACATATTTTTCATATAAATTGGGTATTTATTGGGTCACTGCCATTCGCCATTACTCTAAGTGATCCCTCTGCAAGCTATTGATTTAAACTGTAATTTAACAATTGTACTAAAGGAGATGACTCTTCAAAACATGGGAAGTCTTTAAGCAGTCGCACTCGAGATATTTATTCAGACCAAGTATTTGTCTTACAATCTACAGTTTAATATGGCTTGTTTATTTTACTCATATTAACCTTGAGTTAAATACCTCTTATGTACGTGTCCATTATATAACATGTCTCGCTGAGAATTTTCGAAGTTAGCAGTCGTGCTTTTGATGCTAAATTCTGGCAATGATTGTTTTAAAATGAACAAACTTGGCTTATTCTTGAGCATCTTCACAATGTCAAGCTATAACGAACTGAGTCTAATGTCATAAATGCAGCGATTTAATTTATCGAATACAGCCAATCAGAGTCGTCGACAGACGGTAAACAGTTTGACTGTGCGTCTAATCGGGGGTTATGATTGGCTGTATTCGCTAGCGTACAATCCAATCCCTGATCTGTAGATGTCGCAACGTCCTTATTTTACTGTATGAAGTGCAATGCAGTCCAAGTCGCAAAGCAGCGTTCAATGCTTTGGAGGGCTGAGCATGACGTGCTCCGTGCAACACCATCCAAATATAGTTGAAAAACCCGAGCCTTGCCTGGATAAAAGCGGAAAAATTTCCATTGCTGCTCCACGTCTTCGTTGATGCAGAGAAATAGGACGTTGAACTCTCCATCATTCTTTTTTCAATTGCATATTTTTCAAGTGTTATGTAACCAAAGCTGAACTAAAAAACAAACCTTTCAAGTTTAATTTATTTTGCTGTGAAAAGCCAACCACAAATCAGAAAAATCTTGAAAAATCTTGAAAAAGTGTTGAAAAATCTTCACAATTACCGTTTCCTTTACTTGAAGAGACTAATATTTGATTTTATTCTATCAATTATTCATAAGTTGGTCATTATTCTTAGTAAATATTGGATTTAGACTGTCATTTTTTTCTAGCGGACTTCCTTGTTTACTTTAGAATAGATCTCTATAACAAAAGGGCGCCATTTTGAATTTCTAAATAATGAATGCTTGTATATGTTCTTGACTTTGTTATTGATTTTCGCGGTAGATATTAGTTTGGACTGATCTTTGGATGTATTCTGCGAAGATATTATAAGTTTATTTCGCATTACAGAATTCATAAGAGAAATAAAAAAAAAATGTCGCCACTTTGCGTTCGATTTCTCCAGCATTAGAAGCGGTCTTATACCCTAAGATAAACGTCTATTAAAAAACAAAATGGGGTCTCTTTGTGTCAGTAACATTAACTTAACCCCGATGTATCTATGTCAAGAATTTCTGAAGAGAATTGCGTCATTATAAATAAAGATGATTTTGGACTTTAAATCAAAGCCCTTTTAACCATCTAACAAAGATGGGACTGTATTTTATATCGTTGTTACTTTTTGGATTAGCGGCCTCTTCAATTGCAGGTAAAGTTTCCACTGTGTATTTACTAGTGTAAAGGGTTAAATACCTTGCTGGTGCTGTTGATAAATTTGTCCGCGAAACTTGCCGATCGTAGCTTTTACAAAAATTTGATATTTCTGAACGAAGCGAGAGGGATCACAAACGAAATTGAATTTGACAATGTTTCAGTTAACTGTTGCTAAGTTATTCCCCTTGTCTAATCAAAATAGTCTTCCTTTCCAGAGAAAGTCACCCTCACTCAGATCAACCTAGAAAAGAGTCACTATGCTGCAAGGGAGAAGAGGTCCGCGCGTTTCATGCAAAATAATATCTTCTATCGAATGGAAGACGAAAATGGTCTATACGTTGTGCTGAATTTGACTAAAATAGACCTTCCCGCTACCACGATCATTAAAGACGGCAAAAGTGTTAAGTCTTTTACTTCGGGGGAGGTAAGACCAGATTTTCTCTTTTTGCCGTAGTGGATAAGATTGACTGGTATTTGGTTAACGTAAGAGAAAGATGTGGGAAAACAGTGGCCATGTCATCAGAATTGAGGTCGATCAAACTTTTTAAGTTACTTTACCTCTCCGATTATAGGCATGCAATTTCGTCACTGTTTCATTTTCCGAAATTAAAATCTGTACATTTCTGTACACAGCAGCCCCATGTTTCGAATATGCACGTGTATGGAGCACTGATTTGACCTATTTTTTCAGGATGTTGCAACGTACGTCGACTTCAATCGAGATGGTGTATTCATGTTGGGTTTAAGGAGGGATTCTAAAGGATTCTTTCGCTATGATTTGGTAAGTGTTCTTATACTCTGTGAAGGCGTCATAGTCACAAGTCTCTCATACAGCGTCTGAAGGAGTTCTCCCAAGAAATTGTCGAAAAATTCAACTGATTTGGTTCATTCTAACACATATTTTGGGCAAAAAGCGTATAAAAATCATATTTGGCTCCGCCACTGTTACGAGGGCTTTCTAAGTACTCATTTATTTCAGATTGGTACGTTCCGATTCGGTAAACGTCGTGTAGCTATCAATCCAGATCCTATTATTAAAACATTGTATAATATCGTGGATGATGATGGCATTGTGGATTACAGAGGAGATAGTATTTATCCTCCAGGTTGGTATTCCCTTCTTCTAGACCGAAACAGGCCACCCCCACTATTGAGAAGTCCCACCCATATACATAGGACCCGCCCACTGTTCTTAGGACACTCGTCACACGTCGTTTACATAGGACACCCCCCTCAATTAATTGGTCACAGTGTGGCAACCAGGAAAAGATAGTAGCAACAAGGTCCAGAGGTAGAACAGAATTATGGCGTGATAAACCTTTCTAAAAATAGAAAACGTTGTACACTCTGTTCTAAATACACACGAATCCGAAAAAATCCTACACCAAAATTTTTGTTCGATTTCAGGGTATGTTCCAGTAATAAAGCCTACACGCCAATCCAGAGCATTAACCAATTACATCATCGAAGTTTGTTTTTTGGCTGATTACGCCATTTACCAGAAGTAAGTGGACATAACTCTCGTTTTTACGATGATACTTCAAATCTCGATTCGGATCTTACCTCAAAACTATTTAGACCCTGCATGCCCCATTGCTTGAGTTAATGCCATAAATGCCTGAAATATTTTAAAAGAAAATACCATCTTCCAAATATGTGGTAGCAGTATTGCTCGCTTTTACACAAAATGTCTTTTTTCAGGTTTTTGACTAAGAATGCCAATGATGCTGCTGCAACCCAGACCGAGATGTCCACATACTACGCTTTCCACGCCGAGCAGCTAAGAGTCCGATACAAGACGGTGCAAGAAATCGATCCTACCTTCTCCATCAGTATTGTCAACTCTGGACTGGTTATATTTACTGTGAGTATTTTGGCTTTACACGTTAGAAATCGCTAAACACATCCTAAAATAGTAGACTAATGTCCTGGAACTTTGTATTTTCCTAATTTAGTAAGAAGTAATACCCCACTTTCATTTTTTGTAGGACCCGGCAGATATTCCATTTGTTGAGACCAACAAAGTCGCAGATACGATCAACTCCTCGCTGATTTTATCTGAATTCAGAAACTACATCAACAATATTCCAGCAGGCATTACCATTCCTGATAGTGATCATTACATGCTGTTCTCTGGCTATGATCTGTTCTCTGCTAGTACTGGGAGCCTGTCCAATGCCGGTAAGATCCAGAGTGGGCTGATCATATGTGGTCAAATTTGAACCTCCATGTAGTCCAAACAGTCAAATATTTGCTCTGAACAAACCAAATGCACGCACTATAAGGAAATCAACGATTTGCTGAAAGCTGCTACTAAGTACCGCTAATACACGCTTACCTAAGGAGCTACAATTGTTAACCCCATGTGAAGCCAAAGCCATTCTATTTTTCATTTCAGGTTTGGCTTATACTGGAGTTCTCTGTACGACATACGCAATGTCGCTTGTGGAAGATAGACGCCGAGAACGATCTGCGATTACTGCTGCCCATGAACTGGCCCACGGGTATGATTCCGTTTTGTGCATCTGTTTACTCCGAACTATTGAAACGCGTTTAGATATACCCAATGTCATAGCGCAAGTTACAAGATTGAAATAAAATTTCAAGAGAATAATTGATTCAGTGGTTGATTTGATGGTCTTAGTTGTTGAGTACACTGTGGAAAAGTGCTCTGATTGGAATGAATTGAGGACCTAGATGTCATTTGTTTTCTCTTTTGTTCTTAACTGTGACGCTACATGCAACAAAACCCAAAAGGGAAAATGTCATCAGCGGTATATAAATATATATTCTTCAGTCGTAAGACACATGATACGTAACTACCCATAAAAACCAATAGCACTAAACTTGGCATAGTGAAAAACAATTGAAATGCCTTGCTCCCCTTTCTTTCAGAGTCGGTGCGGGACATGACAGTAATGAAGGGTGCGATAATGCTGACCAATACATTATGACCGCCGTTTCTAACATTGGTGCCATCACCAGCACAGAGATCGCAAAACGAAGATGGACCTTCTCATCTTGCTCCGTAGCTGCTTTTAAGCTAGATCTTGAAAGGTGAGAATACGTGCGCTGTCTTCGGAAACGACATAATGGGCCACTCAGTGGTACTATAGGGCACAATCAAGGCAAAAATGTAAGATATCCTCTGCCCCCACTAAAAAGTTCGACGTTACAATCCCATACCAGTCACCGTCGTATTAGGGCAACTGGGGCCCTGCAGTTTCCGAATGAAGTTCCGGGTGTTCATTGTCCAAGGCTATTAAATGTTCCAAAATAAGAGAAGTACCTATCGTCAAACCACCGTCAAACTTGATCGGCTCTCAAAATGATGTAATTTGTTACCATCTGTATCTGTTTCAGTACCGACTGTTTGTTCGATAACAGATACGGTGATGGTGAGCTATCAGCTAGTCCAAAACTTGGCCAGATCTACTCCAAAGATGACCAGTGTCGATTTGCTGTAGCTGACAACTCCTCGTATTATGGAGAAGACGTAAGTACATACAACTATTTAGTATAGTATAGTATAGTATGGTATGGTACACAATGAGTGTTCAATAAGGGACATTTTGAGAGAAGCATTGACGCAACTTGTCTTCTGTTTTCCAGCCTGGTGAAGAATGCTATAAAATGAAGTGTCTTGCAACTACAACAACTCTGCGATATGTTATACCACTTGACTACTCCGATTGCGGTACTGACAAGGTAAGTACTGTCCTGTGGGCGTATAGGTATACTCCAATTCCGTAGCCAGAGTAAATGAATGTTTGGAGTACACTTTTCTTTAAGGAAAACATTGACTGTGACCAGTTGGCAAGTGCTCTTTCATATCCTCAGTGTTTCTTCGTACCTGTAGGTGGTAGAGTTGACCAACTGGAGGCATCCTCACTTCTTGTTCATTTGGACGTTCCACATTGTTCTTTAAAAATAACTGTGTGAACTATTCATTTTAGTGGTGTGTTCATGGAGAATGTGTTGCTAAACCAGGTAAGTTCCATGGATGAATATGGACCTGTTGGTTTAAAGGGACTGACAAGGAAAATAGCGAGCAGTCCTTCTGATGGGGGAAATAAACCAATGTGGCATGCACTACTGGCTGTTCACAGTTTCATAGTCAATTGGTAATCCTGTTAAACCTCGATGGTACTTAAAATCATTCTAGGGATACCCCTCAAAATATTTATCATTTGCTTAACTAGGAGTAGATTAACTAGACGTAAAACTTCACAATTGATATCATTTCATTCACATAGCTTCCGAGCCACCAGTAAACCAAGCACCAACTATAAACAATCTTCCAACTACCCATGATGTGGCCGAAAACGAAAATGGCGTCGTGTTCTCTATTAGCAGTTCCGATCCAGAAAGCGATCCTATAGCTTACAGTTACAGATGGAACAGTCCAAACAATGCTGATACTTACTTCGATTTCAATACACAGAGTAAGTTACTGCTCCATCAAGTTTTCTGCCAGTCTTTTCTTCTGTCAACAGTTGGCTACCGATGCAATCCAGTCGAGTTGATGAAGATATTTGACATCATGTAGGCCTTCTCCTACCAGCGAGAAGGAGAGGGTCACCTTTTGCTTGTTGTGTGGCATAAAGGTCCTCCTCACTTCACAAGGATCTGAAATGTGGGACTCAAAACTTCTATCTATTTGACTTCAATATATTTCAGCTGGTGAAGTGTCTATCAAAGCAGGAGTAACATTAAATTACGCAGCCCTACAGAATATTGTATTCAATGTAACTGTAACGGCCACTGATGACCAAGGTGGAGCTTCGTCTTCGGAGAATTTGATCCTCAGAATCACCCAGGGTAAGGAGGATTTTATATCCTGGAACCACTGATAATTAATTCCTCTTAATTTATCCGTGTTAGTTATATAGGTCGGAGGAACAGATAAACCAAGATCCAATATGCCATTGGTTGTACATGGTATAGATCCATCCATGGTCATCGATAAAGGAGTCAACTTGACTCACAATGTGTAGAAAATTAGGACGTAAAACTCATTCAGTAACAAGATGACAATCCAATCAGTCATATTTCTTCGCCATCATGAATGCTTCAAAGACCTAACTGTTAGAGCACTCTTGACTTTTTGGCAGTTGGCATGATAATATATCATTGATTCTTTCATTTTTCAGCGGCAGCACCAAACAACGCACCAGTAATCACCAACACAGTCAACAATGTTCAAATTGTACAGAGTGTTCCCCCAACACAAACTATATTGGATGTTGATGCTACCGATGCCGATCCTGGAGATTCTCCCACATTTACTGCCAACTGGGTAAACCCTGCTAACGGTGGCAGCTACTTTGACTTCAATCCTACAAGTAAGGTTGCATTTCTGACAAAATCACACAATGAAACACGTGCGCTGTTCATGGCAGCTCAAACTAAGTATGTTTCAATCCACAAGTTTTCAAATTGTAAAGGGAACAATGGCGCTCGGTAACTCATTTCCACAGCTGGCCCAAGTGTTATTGCCGTTCGGACCATTAATAATGACGACATTAAATTCCAGCTGGAGTAATAACCAAGAAACCAGGAGCCACCCTTACTGCTGGACAAATTTATACTGTAGAGGTGACTGCCAGTGATGGCAAAGATACGTCCGCGACCAAAACTTTTAATATACGAGTTAATGCTGGTAAGGATTTTGATCAACAATTCTTGTTTCCAAATTAAAAAAAAACTGTCAAACCAGGTTGCATCCTATGGTCGAAATACCCAGCTTAGCCTTATCTTTTGTAAGACCCTGCATAAGGCGATGCGACTGATTAAGTTGAGGTTAAATTTGATAAAAGCTTTTAATAGGCTGAAGATCGAACACAAAAGTTGGGTCAAGTTAAGTTGAAAATCAAAGAGATGGTCTTTGTAAGTGAATGAAGAAATGATTTTATATCATTCTCCCAAGCTGAGCAGTCCAATTCAGTTGTTCAGTTGTTCATCAACTTCTGATTTCAGACCCCAATACACCACCAACCATCATCAACCCGAACTCCGGATCAGCAACAGTCACATTGAACTCGCTCACTCAAACTGGCCAGATCTTCGACTTCAATGCCGTGGACGACGAAAGTGATCCTTTTAGCTTTCAAGTGGTCAACTGGTCTCCAGCCAATGGTGGAACTTATTTTGACCTCAATCCATCAGGTGAGCAGTATCTTATCGAGGATCAACACGTCTGAGTTGCATTAGATGTTCTTGTTTCTTTAGTAAACCGTAAAGCTTCCTTTTGAATCGTAAGTACTGTTATCCTGGACCTGAAAGATGGCCAAAATGGCAGTTAGTTTTAATGGTTATGTCTTCGTTTCAGATGGTACAGTCTCTATCAAGTCGGGTGTAACTATACCACCAAGTTCCACATTTGCTCTCCAAGTGACGGCCACTGACAGTAAAGCAGCTTCCTCCCAACCTACTACTCTGATCATCAACACACCAGCAGGTAAGAAAAAGAATTATCTTTCACCTTGGAAGAAGGACATGACTGGTCATCTCCACAATATCAAGGTATAACTCCGTAAGACGGAGTTTACCCCATGCGTTAGACGCCAACCATCTATCATCTTCACCAATCAATGCTACTCGGTCGCTGTAGGATGTAAAACTCCATTGAAGATCTTACTGTATTGTTCTATTCCACTTCGTTCCAGCTGTAAATCTACCACCAATTCTGACCAAACCACCAAACTCTGGATCTGAAACTGTACAACTATTCAGTCTGGAACCAGCTGACCCTATCTATGATTTTGATGGAGTAGATCCTGAAGGAGCTCCAGTTCAGTATACAATCGACAGTTACGATCCCAATGATGCTTTACAGTACTTTGCTGTCGTGGCTTCAAGTTAGTGATTTTGGTCTACAGTGTGCTTTCCTTTAACAAAGGTTTATCAAGAAATTGCTACGTTGCATGTCCGTTACCAATTCTTAGACAAGGTTCTCACTTCTCTTACGAAATTGGATGCTAGTTTTGTGGGCAATGTCTTTCCTTAAGAATGTCCAATGAGGTCCATTCAATATTAGCTTCCCCTTCTTCACCTTGGACGTCTTTTCAATATTTCTGTACTCTGTGATTTGTCTTTGCAGCTGGAGCAGTTATAAGAACGGATGTACCCCTTCCTCCCGGAACAACCTTCATTCTGAATGTCAAGGTGTCTGACGGGACTCTGGATTCTTCTCCTGGAACAGTGATCATTAAAACCCCCGTTGGTGAGTCCTTAAGAATTTTCAAGAATCAAATTTTCATAGTCCATCTGATCTGTAGGGCGTAAAACTCCATTTCATTGAGTATATCCCCAACCAACTATCATTTCAGCAATCAGTCCAGCTATGTACCCGAAAATCTCAATATATTGTTTTATTTCAACTCCTTCCAGCTGTAAATCAACCACCAATTCTGACCAAACCACCAAACTCGGGAACAGAAACTGTACAACTATTCAGTCTGGAACCAGCTGACCCTATTTATGATTTTGATGGAGTAGATCCTGAAGGAGCTCCAGTTCAGTATACAATCGACAGTTACGATCCCAATGATGCTTTACAGTACTTTGCTGTCGTGGCTTCAAGTTAGTGATTTTGGTCTACAGTGTGTTTTTCTTTAACAAAGGTTTATCAAGAAATTGCTACGTTGCATGTCCGTTACCAATTCTTAGACAAGGTTCTCACTTCTTTTACGAAGTTTTGTGGGCAATGTCTTTCCTAAAGAATGTCCAATGAGATCCATTCAATATTAGCTTCCCCTTCTTCACCTTGGACGTCTTTTCAATATTTCTTTATTCTGTGATTTGTCTTTGCAGCTGGAGCAGTTATAAGAACGGATGTACCCCTTCCTCCCGGAACAACCTTCATTCTGAATGTCAAGGTGTCTGACGGGACTCTGGATTCTTCTCCTGGAACAGTGATCATTAAAACCCCCGTTGGTGAGTCCTTAAGAATTTTCAAGAATCAAATTTTCATAGTCCATCAGATCTGTAGAGCGTAAAACTCCATTTCATTGGAGAATATATCGCCAACCAACTATAATATATCAATCAACACAACTCTGTACCTGTAGGAGGTAATACTTCATTGAAAATCTCAATATATTTTTTTATTTCAACTCCTTTCAGCTGTAAATCAACCACCAATTCTGACCAAACCACCAAACTCTGGAACAGAAACTGTACAACTAACGAGTCTGGCACCAACTGGAACCATCTTTGATTTTAACGGCGAAGATCCCGAAGGAGCTACGATTAGGTTTATCGTAGACAGTGTCATTCCCAGTGATGCCTCGACATACTTTTTCGTCAACCCCCAAAGTAGGTGACTTTCTGTATTCTTGAACCGAGACTGTGCACGGTAAAGATCCTTCGACAGTTGGAAATCGGAAAAAGAGCACGCTTATGCCACTGTCCTGGCAAAATGTCCCTCAACGCACCTTGCATGGCGTTGCTCGTCTTCATTGGCCCAAATGGTGCAGTAATGTAGTACGTAAAACTCGATTCATTTCATATCATTGTTTCTGTATTCTTGTATTGTTACCGAGAACTAGCATAGTGCCAACATTTCCTGAACACCTTATGTCACTCTTAATGGCTACGTCAAGCCAGTATCGTCATACCTTTCAACAGTAAAAGGATCAGCATCACCGCCATCTTCGTCATTTTCAACTGTTTTACTTTTGTAAATCAAATCTGAGATGTTTCCTTGCAGCTGGAGAAGTTTCAAGAACAGATCGACCTTTACCTCCCTCAACAACGTTCACCCTGAATGTCAAGGTGTCTGACGGGACTCTGAATTCTGTTCCTGGTACTGTGATCATTAAAACTCCAGATGGTAGGTTTCAAATGTAGTTGAGTTCTCTTGGCACAATGTATCCTCTTCAGTTGCCCAACCAGGTGAGTCTGGTGCCTGTGGAATTGGTAGCTGAGCCACTATTCCTCTGTATTCTATTAACTGGTCCTTGACCAAACTTCTTGACATAGATCCTACCGAGACTATCCGTACATTTTTAAAACTAAGCTGACTGGAAATATGAATGAAGATTATTCAAGGTCGTTGTACTTCACGCGCCGACAGAGATTAGAAGCCACAACCACCATTTATTCGACGTTACAAGCGAATGATGTCATGTAAAAAATAACGGCTTAGCCGATTATGCGACATAACCTTACAAAAGCTAAGAAGTAGGACGTAAAACTCAATTTAATTTCAATCAAAAATTTAGTTATGTTATACCAATCTTCATTCTTGAGTACCAAAATCAAGAAGTCAAAAAACAACAAAGTCTTTTCATCTCCATTTTGTTTTGCATCTTAACAGCACCAAGCGGAGTACCAGTCATCATCGATCCAACTCAGACCGCTTCCATTCTAACTACGACAACAGGACTGATCGGTGGATTCGTTGCAATTGATCCAAACGGCGACCCCTTAACATATGAAGTAGACAGCTGGATTCCGTTATCGGGCAGCCAGTTATTCTACTTAAATCCACAGAGTAAGTGAACTTACCTTATATATGTATGTATTATCTCGAACGTCCAGCGGAAAGCAACAGGTCCCCCCCTTTACCTTACCATGCTAGGAATCCTAATTCCACTTCTAGACTGACAGAAAGAACACAATCTGGTCTTTTACCAGAGAAACCCTGTAATTGTGAATTGAATTAAATTTGGTACTCGCTGAAAATTCTAAAATCCTTTAGAATCCCGAACTTTTGATTGCGTGAAAGGTCTCTGCCTGACGTTTAGAATGATCTGTTTTTTTTTAGCTGGAGATATTACGGTCAAGCCTGGTGCGATCCTACCACCCGGTAGTACGTATACAGTGAACGTTAAAGCCTCTGATGGAACGTTAACCTCTAACATTGGAACGCTGGTAATCAACGTACAGCAACGTAAGTATAATATTCTTCATATGGAAGAGATGTGGACAACAAAGACCAAACTCTTGCTTATTTTTGAACAGGGTATCTTCGGGGTTTTGTGGAAACCGTCTAGTCAATCGCAAGTGACAGTGAACCTAGACATAGTATCCAACATGCAGTTTAAAAAAGGTAATGCCAGTGCCGCTAATGTGGTGCAATGGTCTCCAATTCACATTATATTTGAATAAGAGTGCCTTCGGGTTTTCGTGAAATCTTACTTGGAAAACTGTGTAGTAGTTCTGTTGGATAAGGCAAGATAAGGCAAATACCGCTATTGTGATGCACTGGTCCTCAATTAACATTATGTAACGTTGTCTGTATTGGCAAGAGGGCATAAAATTCCATTTAATTTCTCCTTCCAGCACCAAACGACCCCCCTGTATTCAACGTTGGGAATTATGCTGTGACCATTCCAGCGAGCAAAGTCGGTGACGTGATCACAGTGATAGCGAACGATCCCAATCCGGGCGATACTGTCACGTACAGTGTTAACAGTTGGAACCCCATTGATGGCAACAATTATTTTGTTATTAATCCTGCAAGTAAGTATTTATTGTGACACTTGCTACTACTTTTCATTATGAAATACTTACTCAATTATGATTGATATATTTCCTCTTGCGAATGGGTCATTAGCTGCTACTATTGTTTCGCCATTATGTTGGTGTTAGATTGGATTTTAAGTTTCGTTTTGCGGTTCGGATCGTCATTTCTTGGTATATTTACTATGTATTACCAAATAAGGTACTGCCAATTACTAAAGAATATAACTCCAATAAATTATCACAAAAATTATAGCACCAATTAATGTACATTACAAAAGAATGCCCCATTTTCGTTCTGTATTACTAAAGATAACGTGTTGTCTCTTCCAGCCGGTGTGATATCTGTAAGGCCTGGAGTCTCCTTACCACCAAACAGAGTCTTTGTGGCTGATGTCTCAGCCTCTGATGGAAGTCTTTCTGGTACAGCCAGGGTTACGATCACAATAGCTCCAGGTATGTTTGTGAATGTGGAGTAGAAGTGTGGCCTGTGTCTATAGGAAAGGGGAGGAGAACAGTTCGCTAGCCCACTAACCTAAGGTCCCCGATTCGATGCCGCCAAATGTCGGGTCAACCGATACTGGTCATAATACCAATAAACCAAAGAAAAATGTGCCAAAGTCTATGCATGTTAAAAATTTGGAAATGTTGATATCTCAGTATAATGCCCCTTATTTCACACTGTTTGTATTTCTTCCTCTTCCTCATCCTCGGACGTAAAAATTAATTCCATTTCTGTTTCAGACCTGAACACTGCTCCAGTAATCACCAATCTAAACGATGTCAAAGTAGTCACGACGTCGGACCAAGCCGGAGTAATCTTCACCGTTACCTCCCGAGACGACCAGAACGACTTGGTGACATATACAGGAACTTGGGACAATCAAATCGCCGGCAACATCTTCACGTTTAACTCCCAAAGTAGGTTTCGGATGTAGTTTTGATACTTTAATGGTTTTTCCAACAATAATATAGGATGTAGAGATCCTTACATATGTCTCACTGGATCACGCAGCCAAAACCCTATCAGCAGGTGGTTGGTAGATGACAAGTTAACGTTAACGTTAGTCGTAGTACTTGGTAGTTGGATTAAAAAAGAACCAACCAGGAAAGCTCATTAAATTAAAAACAGATCCCAAGCACAATTGCAGTCACTCGGGGCCAGAAGAGCCAGAAATGGAAATATTCACTGTGACCTTCCTACCTCTATGGACCCTCTTATTTTTTTGCAGCTGGTGAAGTAAGCCTAAAGTCAACACCATTCCTTCAGTTATACTTGAACAATCAGTTTACGCTGACTGTTTCTGCTTCTGATGGTCAACTTTCGTCAGTTCCAAAGACTCTTACAGTGCGAATCTCTCAAAGTAAGTTTACTAATAGGCCGATTTTCTTCTGTCCGTCTTTTGGGCAGTTCTGAAAACCTATTAAGTTCAATTCTACCAGTACCATGAGTTGTACAATGAATGTCACTCATAAGACAGCACAAGATGGCACTTCCGGATAGCTGTATCCACTCTGCGACTGGCTTGTCACCTCGTTACTCCATGCAAAAGTCCACAGAGCTAGTAGTTGCAACCATCTTGAGTTTCATCTGGTTGTTATGCCATTGCCCATAAAAAAAACTGGATGTCTTATTTTACAGATAATTCGCCACCAAAGATAACCAACCTTCCGGAAACAGTTACGGTTATGGAGAATCCGGCCGGTATGAAGTTCTTCACTGTACAGGCTACTGATCCAGAAAACGATAACATCGTCTTCTCTGAAACTTGGGAACCATCCTGGGCTCAGTACTACTTCTCCTTCGATAAAAACAGTAAGTATATTCGACATTCGAGATTGCTATAGTACTCTCATTACCTTGATTGGGTGGTTTCAGTTAGTGTCTGGTGTATGTCCTCTTTAAATTCTTATTTGAATTGTCCTTGATTTCAACGACACCTTTTGAACTGTTTGGCAGGGAATATCGTATTGCCAATATATACCACAGAATGAACGGATTGGGAGATTCTTCAACATTGGGAAATTGAACAGAAATTGGCATTCCGTTTTTACCAAAAAGGTTTTGAAATCTTTTTTTAGCTGGTGAAGTGGCATCTAAACCAAGCCCTTACCTAACTTACACCAACTTCATGGGCCAAGTTTTCAAACTAAGTGTAACAGCGGCAGACTTGTATGGAACTTCAAGCACAGAGACCTTAACCATCAGTGTAGGGCCAGCCACAGGAGAAAATCATCCTCCAAAGTTCTCATCCGCAAACTATTTCGCTACAGTTATGAACCGACAGGTAAGATCCCCGACGTAAAGACCCTTAACTGTTTGTACTGTCTTCTTCATTACTTATTGCCCTACAAATGCAATAAGCTGATGATTATGTAGCAACGTTTGGGCCCTTTAAATTGGGTACTGTAAAGCGTCTTACTGGCGATGACAGGTCATGTGTACTTGCCATAACACTTAAAGCGACATCCCGACTAATGATTTCTTTTTTGGAGAGTTCATTTTTATTAAAGAGTTTTATGATAACTCATTGTTGTTTCAGCCCGGAGGCCCAGTCTACGAAAACTTAGACGGTAAAGTAACCGACCAGGATGCAGGCGATACAAAATCATTCTCGCTCCAGAATAACATGTGGTCAAGCTACTTTAATATAAATCAGCTCACGGGAGCTATTACCTTTGCTTCCAACAAGAATCTTGCCAATCTCCCGAATCAACTGGTCCTAACTGTAGATGTAACGGATAGAGTCGGAGATAAGGACACTGCTTCTTTGTTGATAAATATTCAAGATCAGCCGCCTACGTTACCACGTATCCCCAATCTACCGGCCTCCGTCAATATTCCTGAAGAATCCAATGGTCGTTTCATCGTCCAGAAGCCACCTGTGAGTCAACAAGTGACGTTCTCGATGACATCTTCCCCTGCTAATGCTCCTTTTCAGATCAACCCTCAAAGTAAGTTAGTCCTTGAATAGGCTTGTCGGTCTAATCCAGCAAAATGGGATTCAGGCCATGGACCTGATATAAGTATTACAGTGAATCTTGCGCATGCGACTACCTATATTAATCAATCACCTTCAGCATGCGACCAAAATTAAGAACTTTTCAATATAATTCACGACTGCAGACGACCACTTTCGCGACCATTTCGCGACCAGCAAAGTAGTTTGTCGTCTTCGCAACTCTTCTGTAATTTCTTTCTTTCTTTGTGTTAATGTCGAGTCGAAGGGGTGTGGTTTAAATCAATCTAAAAGTTCAATTTATCACCAAATCATATTCTATTTCAGCTGGTGAAATTACCCAAACTACCCCACTTGATTATGAATCTCTCAGTAACAAAGTGTTCACATTGACTATCAAGGGAACGGACAGCACCGGCACATCTACGCCAGAGGAGACGCTTACCTTTACTGTTATCAATGTGAACGAAAGTCCAGTTTTCACGCAGCAAGTGTACCAGGTTACAGCCAATGCGGGGCAGGTGAGTTCATAAGCGAGTGTGGAAGGTTGGGAGAGACGGCAATGAAAGCACGATGTTACCTCGACCCTATACCTCCAGTGATCCCATTCAGATATGATGCGATGGTAAAAAAGTTTTAAACGGAAAACTCCACTTTATTAGCCTTCGTTGGAAAATTTATTGTAAGGTTCCTGTCTGATTAGGTTTTATGCTTGTATTTTTTTTAGGCCGGACAAGTCGTAGTAACTTCCCTTCTGTCATCCGTGAACGATCCAGACGCAAATGACTACATCCGATTCCAGATCCTCCCCGGAGCATATTCCAACTACTTTTCAATAAACCCTAACACAGGGGCGATAACTTACGCTACAAGTACACTAGGAGCTTCCCTGCCGAATCCAACTCGTTTGACGGTCCAGGCTACAGATAGCCGAGGTCTCTCCTCAACGGCTCAAATAGACGTCACCATCAAGGACATCAACAATGATCCACCAACGTTCCTAAACTTACCAGCAACTAAACAAGTTTCGAAGTCCCAACAATCAGGTGTAACAATTTTTGATGTGAACGCCCAAGATCCCGAAGGACAACCCTTGACGTATTCTATCACCAATTCGAATTCATTCCCACAGTTCTTGTTTCAAATCGATCCTTCAAGTAAGTTCGGATGATAATCCACCACTTTTTTCAGATCTTGTCCATTGATCTCTTTCCCGAAATCTAACTGCTCTGATGAGGATTGCGTATTAGTATCAGCTCTAATAAGTTTAATTCAGCGAATGTTGATAAAAGCTGAAAGCTGGTGAAAGCATACATGCAATTTTAACTGATATATTTTTTTAACAATTCAGGTGGTGTTGTATCTCTAGGAAATGGATACACTATTCAGTCGTTTTCTCCGCAAAACGTCGAATTAATGATCAGCGTCTCCGATGGGTCAAAATCCACAGAGAAATCCCTTACTTTGTCCATTGGTTCAACAAGGAACCAGCCACCAGTTTTCAATCCTGCATTCTTTACAGCTGCAGTTGACGAAGGTCCGGTGAGTTTAGAATTCATTTAATTTCATCTCGTTTTATTTCGTTTCATTTCATTTCAGTTTATTTGTTTGTTTGTCACTAAACTTTCTTTATAATCTGTCTATTTTTGCCATTTGTATTGTCAGGTCGGTACAGTTGTGTTTGATGCTGGTTTAGCGACCGATCCCAACGGAGATCCAATCACCTACCAACTGGAATTTCCTCCAGCGAACGGCTTCTCTATCGACCAGTCTACAGGAGTCATTAGATACAGTCAAGACTATTACCTTAGCTATGGGCTTCCAAGCAGAGTAATTCTGTCCGTCTCAGCTTACGACCCAAGTGGATTGAAGGCCGATGCGTTGGTGTTAGTAACGGTCCGAGAGAAATCAACTCCGTTACCGTTGAAAATTACTAATTTACCTGGATTCAAAATCCTGAACAGATTGGGAAACTATCCGCTCATATATAAAGTGGAAACTTCTGGTGGAAGTGATCCGAAGAATTTCCAACTCGAGAATGATGGTGGTGTCTTCAACATCAATTCCAACAGTGAGTACTGCTTCCTTTCTTTAACACTTTACCAATTTTCTTGGTCTGATACCATGCGAAAACAAATTTTCCCTTCGCTTTGGGTTTGTATACCATGTGGGCGTTTTGTTCTATTACTATTTGGGATTTGAATTAACCTTGTAATGAAGACCTCCGCCTTCCCTCTCTGAAACAAAGAGACTACGGCTCTGAAAAAGACAAATGTTGCGTTTGGGCAAAGAAAATCATTTGGACGTCCCCTGAGAGCGTTTATCACGGTATGGTCATTTAATTCCTCGAGTAATGGCTGTCTTTGAATTTTTTTTCAGCTGGTGAGATCACTCTAAAGTCTGGTATAAGTCTGAACCAATTCAGCCAAACAAATCACCAAACTAACCTCAGAGTTATCGTTACTGATTCTTCCAACCGAAGGGAAGAAGGACGATTGACTGTCGTAATATTTTAAATGAGTTCTCGCTTCTATTTCTTGCCATTTGGTCTTGAAGTTTACAGGGGTATATAAAGTGCTTCTTCTCCGAAGTTGCGAATATTACTGCAAAATTGAAAATGCCAAAAGGATTTATAAAAGCACCAAAGAAAACTTCATTGCTGTTTCTAAATATATTCCCCTTTAAACGGAATCCCACTCAAGAATTTAAAGTCGTTCTGTCTCTTAAAATCTGCGATTAGAATATATTAAAATGGTTTTGATAGCTTGATTTGCTTGTCACCAATAAGGTTTGATCCTTGGTCAAACGTCTTGGCATTGATCTTTCCCGGATTATCCATACCAATTTACAGCTGGGCCGAGTGGAATTATGAGAATACTATATAAGAGCTAGTCCGCGGCTAAACTAGTCTACACGTTGACCGAGATTAGAGATCACGACCACCAATTGTAGGCTAGTAAATGACGTTCCACAACTCTTAGCGATACAGTTACACTCTGCCCTCTACAAGCAATTTTACAAAAACAAGCTTTCGGAATTAAAAATACAGGCTTAGTTAAAATAATTTACTGTAAAAATATCAAATTCAATACAAAACAAAGTTCAGCAATAAAAGAAACTGTGCAACGTCAATGCAAATTTCCTCGTATAAAATCCTTTGGCACTAAAATATGAGTATACTATACTCTATCATCGCATTGCACTTTTCTCCTAATCTAATCCAGTTTATGGCTATTATCTGGTTATCATCTCGTTATTATCTAGCTACCATTTCGCTATAATCTGGATACCAAGTCATTGTTATTTGGCTAACAATTCGTTATTATTTAGCTACGAATTCGTTACTACCCAAATACCAATCCACCTAATACTCGACATCTTTTTCATAAAGATAATCACTATTTGTAAAATATCTGAAAGAAATATAATAATTGGGTTAAACCAACCCGATTACCATCCGTTTGATACTTGCGATTCGTTTGATACAGGCGTACAGAAATATCTCCAGTAGAACTAATAATACCCATTTCAAGGACATTTATAACTTCATAGAAGCGTCATGATAAGAACTGTCGCAGACAGTGCTGTGGATGAGTTCCACAACTGAGGTAAGTGTGCATTATCAGCAAATCTTCTCTCATTACACACTGCATGATTCTAGTTGTCAGTTTCAGTAAACAGTGTTTAGAACAGAAGAGTAGAATGTAGGACTTAAAACTCCATTTCTTATCGCCCTCAACTCTAAATACTTACTCTGGATGGTTGCGGGGTCTGATGACCTGAGACCTCATTGAAGTGCTGTATAGATCACCTTCGGATGATAGAGACCTGGAATGAAAACTTGAGAAATCGGAGTACGTCAAGAGGATTAATTGCATGAGCTGGGTTCTCAAATGGAGGACAAAGAGTCGTGCACAGTCCATAACGTATTAGTGAATGTCACAAAACCAGCTATAGATTGAGCTGAAGGTACCAATAGGTGTTATTTAGCCAACGAGTGCCCATTGTCTACTCAGACTCAGCCCCAGATCCTGGCCATACTTACATATTATCGCCTTGTTTGCTTCGTCGGTACATGATACAGACCACTAAAATGATCAACGTCGGGATGAGGATCCCTACCACTGACAGAACCACTATTACCCATGGTCTGTTGAACTGGAAGAAATAAATGGGATTTTGATCATAGGAGGAATGCCAATCAAAACTGCAATCGATCAGTCACTGATCGAAGGTGACAAACTATGGGGAAACTTGAGCTTGATATTCACTGAAGAACAAGCAATTAAAACGGCAGTATTCCTGACGTCGATGACCTCTTGCAACATATATTGTTTATCTAAGTGTATATCTAAGATCCCAAGACGATGGTTGGATAATAATAGTGGGATAATTCCACTTGTGTCCCTCATAACAGATCCAAGGTGACACAATCTTACCAGTGGTTCAGCTGGAGAGGTTGTTGAAGGAGTTGTTGACAAGGTGCTCCCAGTGCCTTGTGGTGTTTGACCATTCGGAACACCAGAGTCCTTGGTAGTCACTGGTAACTCAGATGCAGTAGTGACTGGTTTCTCTGATGTTGGTGTGGACGTTGGCACTGAAAAGGTTTGATCAAAATCTGGTTTGTTATATCGAGCTAAATGCATTTGAAAAGGATCTTGGCATAGATCAGAGACAGAATAACATAAAGGTGTAGAGATGATTTGTCCTCTTCTTGGTAAGCACCAGACGTGTCCATGGTAAATCGATTGCCAGACAATACATGTTGCAATTACAGCCAAAAGCCAAAATGTAGATAAGAAACCAGCAATTATTTAGGAATCAAGGAGATTCGGCCCGGTGTCGGCGTTCACCCCTCTAATACCATACCTGTTTTAACGATGTTGATAATAAGACTGCTCTCTATGGTATAGATACCGTCAGTTGCAGTGAAGTAAATCGTTGCTTTCATCCGGCTAGCATCTTGTACAGCTGTACCTTGAACACTAACAGTGTTCCCTACAACGATAAAAACATTTTATCTGTTGACGTGTTGACTCCTTGTTCGTAGTCGTCCAGAGATCGATCGAGAACTATATCTATCTTGCCCATCTTCCGGTGTTTCATTACTATTGGATGGTGTCGGGTATGTAGTTAGAGTCATGAATTAGATTCGTAGAAGCAAAATATTGTGCAAAGTGATTCTTGACGAAAAAACAAAGGGATTACTCTTCGCTGTAGTGACAATATGAATTAAACTCAGAAAACGTACCCTTGGTTGCGTCAAATATAACATCAAAAGTTGTAAAACCAACTGACGTATGTCTGTCTTCGATCACAGCAACAACATCTCCGACATTCGGATCTGTAACGGAGACTGTAAAGACTTCCACACCCACGGATGTTACTTCTGGTACGTCTATCGTTGTCGGAAGATTGCTGAACCTCGGTGGTTTATTGAAGGTAAATCGAACTTCAGCTGGCACGAAGCTAGACGTGGCATCCTTAACTGCTACGGTTAAGCTTACGACCGTAGATACGGTGTCTATGTCAAACGTGTTCAGAAGAGAAATGGCACCAGTAGATTCGTCGATAATGAAGTGCTTGGAATCGTTTCCGCTCCTGAGCACAAAGGTGTATGTATCAGTGTTGTCTGCATCCATCAGAAACGGTAAAAGGCTTTCAATAAGTGTCTGTCCAGCCTACAAAATAATATAGAAGAAAATGCATATTGACATCGATGGTAGCGTAGGTTCAAAGGAATTTTCCTACCTTTTTGGTTCTTGGTATAACCTATTGACATCGATGGAAGCAAAAGTTCTCGAGAATCTCTCTGCAAATTGGTCCTTGGTAAACCCCCTTTTCATTGTTTTTTCCTTGATTATCCTAACCCATTTTCAGTTGACTTGATTGGAATAATGAGGAACTTTTGGAAAATTATTTTTGTGGTGGATTGTCTTTATTGCCTTACCTGTGCCTTTTTGATGGCAAATCTATACGTAGTTTGATTAAAGGACACTGGTTCGTTCACATTCGTTATAGATATATTGAGGTATTCAGAAGACGACTTCAAGGTGCCTTCGTATGCAGTGACAAGTAGATACACCGTCGGTGGAAGAGTTTCAAAATCTAAAGCTGCTACATTTTTCACGAACACAGCTCCACCTGGAAGGCCAAAATGTATTTACTTTGTTACTTATACCAAATCATGATTAGTGAAAAAAGGCGAAATTCACTGTTTGATGCCACTCACTTTGCGACTGCGTATCAACACTATCCTGAAACTGATATGTGAGTGTTGCTTGCGTCCAACCGTAACTACTGATCAGTAAAGTTGTTTGATTTACTCAAATGCTTAAAATGAAATCCTCTTTTCAAGTCAACCCAAAGTATCGAATCCCCAACGTCTCTCACCGTTGCTGATCATGAACAGTTCAGGTAGTCCCGCTGGAAACTGCTCAAAGGTAAAGTTCAGTTTGGAAACATCAAGCGCGTTGGTTGTAACCGTATAAAATGATTCATTTCCAAAATTCTCTGAAATGATCACGGCGGCAGGCAGATCCAAAATAAAGAGTTGACGAATTGTTGTTGTTGGTGGAAAGGCCGTTGTTGTTATGGTAGTAACTGAAATAGAAAATCAAGAGGGTATTCAGATAATTGAATATTTGGATAGTCAATATTATCTGGAAGCATCTATAACCTAACCCTGCAAATGGATTTCAATATCTGCAGTTATGCGAATTTCGGATATCAAATTTGAGTAAACTATTGACACTTATCGATACGTTGAAAAGCGTCTTACCCTCTGGAAGAATGGTATATCGGATGGTAAGGTTGGCGGTAGCAGAGAGCTGCCCATCACTGATTGTGAACTTTATGACAAAGGTGATGTTAGTGGTGATACCAGCACTGTTGGTCAGTATGAGTGTTTTCGCTGAAAAGAGAACGACATGATGGTCAGGTACATGTATTTAAGGGTGATCAAGGGTCCACTCATTCCGTTTTGTGCTGCACAAAAGACATCGCATACAACATCACAAGAGATTTGCAACAGCCACGGACATTTCCGTTTTCAAGTATATTATTATGATATCACCAATAAACGACAGTAAGAAAATGAGCTGGCGAAACAGATAGATATATACCTGTTGCATTAAATGTGAAAAAAGGAGCTGTTTGTTGGAGATCAGCCTCAAGAGTCAGAACATCTGTGGAATCTTTATCGACGAATTTTACTGTGAAGATATCGATGCCGTCGGCTATGGGTGTCTGTAGCTCGATCGTGCGTGGTAGATTGGAGAATCGTGGTGCTTGGTTGACGTTGGTGATGTTGAAAATGAAGTCGGCTCTGTGTGACTGCAGGCCGTCGTCTCGGACCGCAACGTACATGTCCACTGTATTGGGCAGACGTTTAGGATCGGCATCATAGTCTCCGTTGAATGTGATGGAGCCGTTGTTCTTGTCCACCATAAAATGAAGGGAGTATACTGATTGTATTATACTGAAGTGAAGCGTATCACCAGCGTCTGGGTCGGTCACGAATGGCACCAAACTGTCTATGAGGACTTGGCCTCCCTGAAAATCGTGAGAATGAATATAGTCTGACATTCTTATGTTTATACTTCCGTCATATACCACAAGAATTGCAAATATCTGCATAGGTCCAGCCACCCACGGGCATGGGAAGCGGATCTTTGGTAAAGCCGAAGCATTTTAATTTTTCTTGAGCACCAGATAGACTCTTCCGCTTGGAATTGAAACACTCACCTTTCCCTCTGTCACGATGAAATTGTATGCGGTTTGATTAAAGCGGGGTGCTTCATTGACATCTGTAAGAGAGACAGTCAGCGTCCTTGGATCAGACGCTGCTCCTTGGCTGTCTGTCACGGTCACCTGAACGTAAATCTTCACGGGTGAAGTTTCGAAATCCAAGATAGCTCCTGTATTTACCCTGATGATTCCATCTGAAGTGAAACGTAAAGATCTTTTTAATATTGATCAAATGTGATGAGATAACGACATAGGGCGCTGGATATTCACCAAGTTAACCACCATGGAGAGGTAATAAAATCTGCTTACATGACCATTCTGTTATAAGACATACTTAACACTTACTATTGTCGATGGTGAAGGCATTTGCCATTTCAGCTGGGGTTGATAAAAGACTGAAGGTGTGGTTGTCCTCCAAATTCACATCAGTGAATGAGACGATGAACACTTCCAGTCCATCGGCAGAGTTCTCCTCAACTGAAGCAGCTTCGGGTAAATTAGAGATGACAGGCTTCTGATTTTGCGTGGTGATGGTGATAAGTAGAACAGCCGAGTCTCTAAGACCTTCTTCATCTGTCACCGATACGGTTAAGTTTACCTTTCGAGGGTAGATGGTTTTGTCGTAGCCGTAGTCTTCTGCAAACGTTATCTGACCATTGGACGCGTTTATCGCGAAGTAGAATGAATAATCGCTTGTTTCAATACGATACATCAATACATCGCCAACGTCAGGATCGATGATTAAATTGTTAAGGCCTTGAACGACTATAGACCCTTTCTGAAATTCAAAAGTATAACAAAAGGTTAAAGACAGTTTCCGGACCGCTTTCTGTCCATGATGGCTACATGTTATGTGGCATAACGGATGTGCGTATTTAATTCCGTAAATACGTCCTAAGGACGAAAACGAATGGAACAGTTTAAATGGGCTAAGCTAAGATCTTGGATTCTAAGTTTCAGGTTTGAGTTTAAAAGTAACTCACCGGGCCATTCATAACTTGTATGTTGTAAGTATCTTCCCTAAAAAATGGCTTTTCGTTCGTATTCACCAAGTTGATGGTCAACGTTCCTGTGACAGTGCCATGATTGGTAGAAACACTGATGGTTATATAGTATGTCTTTGGATTAGTCGCCTCATAGTCGAACTGTTGATCACCTAGGGTTGTCGTAATCGCGAGCGTACGTAATAATTCCCGTATCGTTTATATTGAAGTATGTGCTTGGGAATTGAGGACGGACCAACGAGAAGGTGAAGGCGGTGCTATCTGTATCCACTACCTTTTTACTGAGGTCGTACACCAGTGTTCCAGCCTGTAATACAACAATACTCTCTTTGTGATCTAATTCTGAAATTTTCATGGTTTAGCTTCAAGATATGACGCCAAACCCCGACCCCAATCCCCCCCCCCCCCTCCCTCTCCTCTTATCGGTGCAGAATAGAAGAAGATACATAGCGGTTCAGAACAAAGCAAGACAGGTACAGTTAGTTGTTTACAAAATGTGAAGTTAATACCTACTTTGCCCTCAGAAACTTGTCCTATGTATATCGTTTGGGTGAATCTTGGTGGGCTGTTAGCTGACTGTGTCACCACAAAGTCCACATTGACCGGAAGTGTGATCAGTAAACCGTCATCAACTGACATGATCAAGCTGAAGTTTTTTACGGACGCTAAACTTTTTCCAGGCTGAACAGACGCTTCCTTTTCTGAAAACAAAATTGTGGGAGGTGTAAGGATCTTCACAGTTTCCTTCCTTACAATATTATATGACAATAATAAAACGCAGGCTGACTTATATAGGTCGGGGGTCTGAAGATCGCATAGCGTGAAACTCTGAGTATGCGACGAAGGCTGATATAGATCAGTTGTCTGAAGATCGCATAACGTGAAACTTTTAGCTGCTACCAAAGCTTTGCCAATATGATGTTTTGGATTTAGGGTTTCGTTTTGCGGTTTGGATTGTTTGTACTTGGTTTGTTTATCCATGTCAAGTCGTGGAGATCCACGAAGAGGTATCAAAAACACAACTGGTGCTCATATGTACTTACTGGTAGCGTCAAATGCCACAATGTCCGCTATAGAAGGTGGATCCCAAGTGGTATGGAAAACCATGACATCGCCTTCATCGGGATCAAACGTCTGGACCTTCAAGATGACACCTTGAGCGGTTGGTGCTAAATTGACACTTCCGGTTGGCAAGTTGACAAATTCTGGTGCTGTATTGTTTGCTGAAAAGTGAGTGATTCATATTATCAAAAATGAAATGAATAATTAGATAATAATTAACATTGCCAGTATTCACAGCTTTTCCCATTGGATCTATAAATTAAGCATGCAAATATTGTGAATTCCCAGTTGAGTGGGCTGATGAGAATAAGTGGTATGTATTTTTGAATGGTCATGGAGTCCATAAAGTAGATCCTTACCCTTGATGCATAGTCCTCTGTGACACCACTGAAAAAAGAAAACAATCCCTTCGATCATTCATATAATCCAACTAGCACTTTCAATTTAAGGATATAACAGAGTTGATATATATTCTTTAACATGGTCAGTCTGTATTACTTTCCAATGTCTCGCCTGTTAGATTCCCAACTGTCGAGAGATCTTTCACATGCATAGCTTTAGCCTCCTTTGTGTTTAATTTTCAAATTTGTGACCGTATCCGGATGAATCGAAACTTCAACAATTACGAGCTACATTGTGGACAGAGGAAAACCGTGATGTCGACCAAAGAATTTTCTAAATGACTTACTTTATTTACGTCACATGTCGTGTATTCCATGACTCTGGCACTCAAGCAATTAGATTTCCCATCGAAGCAGTATAATATATAGCACAATTGATCTTTATCCGATGTGTAAGGGAACTATACATAAAAAAACTGTATGTATTATATACGGTTATACCGCCAACTTAACCAAAGTTAGTTACTTTGATTTATTTTTGAAAAATACATTAAACAATTAGTATTATTACAATTACGACATGGACGATTTTGATTTCAGGGAGGGGAGGTTTTGATTCTCCCAAATGTACAGTTTTACACTCCAGACACATATAATCCTTATTTAGGATTTGAGCAAGAAGGACAATTTGTACTTGTAGAACTGGACCAAATTCTGTAATCTTCTTATTTTGGTCTTCACAGCAAATGTTATATACTACACTTACGGAGCAAAATGTGAAGGATTCATTATACTTCATAGCACATTGTTCGTCTAGGTTGAAATACTGCCCTGGTCGCTCCGAGGAGGTAACTACTCCAGTGCCATATCGATTATCACCAAAACATTTTCCACCATCACTGAAAGCAAAGAAAGAATCATTTTTACAAGGATGATAACTAATTACATCCGTCCACAAGGATCCTGTCTAAAGGCTAGTCCTTGAACAAACCTCTTGATCTTTCCTTGATTGTTTATTAGAGCTGGTTAGAGTGAATAGTGAGGAGGTTAATGTCACAAATTGGACTTTGAAAATACCGCTTGGTTTTGATATTTTCCAGTACGCGGTGGCAGCATGATCGGTCGGATAATGAAGATCCTATCAACTGATCTATGGCCAAACCTCTTGCTATTGATCATTCCTGTTGACCAATCCCCTTGTGGATAAAATGAAGAAAGGAACATACCCAAGAATAAAGGTTTTCATATCTCTGACAGAACAGGTCGAGAACTGCCATGGTCTCTGGGCTTTACTGGAATCTAGAATCAGCACTGCCGTTCCTGCCATGATGTAGGAGTCCGAATCTTTACAACCAACGGCAGTGTCATGACTCATGTTCAAACTATAAGTAATACAGAAATGAAAATAGGCTTGTCCTATGATCTTTCATAGATAGATTATCAGTATCCATAGGTGGAATGATGACATGGATCTTTTCCAAATGTCTTTTGTGTTCTTCAATGATAGAATTATGTATGGATATAGACTTTGTTAGGCAAAGTTTGACAAACATCCTAGCATGTAACTTACAACATCAATGTGTACTTACGCATGACCAAGTTCATGAGAAGCTGTTACTCCAGTTTCGCCATCGCGATGATCTTCTACAACTGAGGTGCTCTTCACCAGATTGGAGTATTGACTCTCCACACAAGTGGCTGCTTTGTATGCCAGGCCAGCATTTCCCAGATTTTCAGCGTGGACAAGGTTGTATCTAAAAATATCTGGGGGGTCATTCAGGTCATTGCATGCTTATGAAGCTCACCAGCAATCACACAAAAGTGTGGTACTGAAAATATCCGAAAGGGTGGGTGGGGGGTTGGGTCGTAGATAATTGTACTGCTGCATAAGTTAATTCCAGAGGGGGTCCATAATTGTACTGCTGATAAAAACACCTAACTCTTAGCTTTATTTCATACTGCGGTGTAGTGCTGATAAATACACAATTCGAAACGAACCTCTTAGTTTTCAAACGGTTTACTACGCTTTAATTGGTCATTGCCTTTGATAGATGTGGCCTACCACCAAGTCCCACCTTTCGGTTATGTACCTACCCGGTAAAGAACATGTAGTGGTCTGCAGGTGGTAGTATTGTTCCATTGGGAGGGTTCAGAAACCAGTACTGCGAAGCGTTCAACATAGTCCTGGCCTCCACTGTTCTACTAACAACGTAGTTCTCGCTGAACGTACTTAGCTCACGTTCCTGCAAATAGGAAGCTTTATCAGTTATCAATTCAACCTGTACTCAATAACCGTCATCTATGTATCGTAGGACGATAGAGGATCAATCTTTTATTTTCTAGATTATTTTTCAAAAGACATTTGAATTTCATTTACTGGCAAGAAGCCTGTCTCAAATCATTCCTTAGTTGAAAAAAGAAAATCTCCAAAGGGATTTCATGGACATTACCTCGACTATTGTCAGACCGGCAGTAACGACATCTACGGCTATGGTGCCATCTACTTCGTTGATATGGTGGTATCGAACCTTCAGCTACAAAGGATCAAGTGCAATACATGAATAACGTGCTGGGTAATGTAGCCAGCGGGAGTATATGACAAACTAAAAACACCCGATTCCACTTTGCGATTTGGTGTCCAGGTCGATATGGATCATTATAGCATTAGGTCGCCTAATGCCGATTAATAATGTAGGGCCCCCATAAAGAGTGACTTGGTATATATTCACTCGTTCTTTGCCTTCGGTGTGACATTTTAACATGTTAAGTTTGTATCAACTGGACTCCATCAACAAAGATTAAAATATTGAAGGACGTGACATAGCTCTCTGATTTTGTTATCAACTTTTCTTTACATTTTACATGTTTATGCTTATACTTCCATTCAATGCACAAGTGTCATGTGTATAAGTAGTTCCCAATAATCTAACGCCATTCACAAAATATAAAAGATCTCATTATTTTCCCATTTGTACGTCTCGAAATTTCTCCATTGTGTTGTGCATTTATGATTTGTGAATGGAAATATGACATTTTTTGTTTACTATTATGTAGAGCTAAATATAGTGAGCAAGTTGGTGAGAAAATACACTGAACTTTTTGTAAAGGCCGGGGCAATGATCTCATTTCATAAATCCTTCACGTCTTATGCGTTCCTCGGCGCATATTTTAAGCTTGTGTCTGTTCTTTCAAAGTATGGGAACGGGCCAGCTTCCAAATGGTGAGGTAATTCTCGGTGCCACAACTTAAGAAAGGTCATAGGAACTATAAGCATTTACAACTGAATCAAAAACGTTTTACAAAGTGGCTCAACTAGATGATTGGGAACTCTTTCCCTGGGAATTAATTTTTAAAAACATATGCTTTTATTTCTGGGTTGGGCCACCCTAAGGGGTAGGAAGCGTGGGCTTGGTTCCAGTCCATTTGGTAGTTGAGCCACGGGTATTATATTCCTACATACCTTCTCAGCAATGAAAGCGAAATAATGCTTCATCTCCGTCTCGGCTATCTCTACATCCTCATTGCTCCGATTAAGAAAACTACAATCGAAGATACGTAAATGATTATATGTCGAAAACACACCCATGTACACACTAAAGATCTTTCTGTAGTTGGTAAGACTTATGCTTGAGCTATCTCTTTAAAGTTGGTAACCCCAAAATTAGGTCTGTGTTCTGGCAAACGTTGCCTCACACTGCATGACATTGCTAGTCTTCAAAATGCCCACCTTAGGTAGTTTTGGTAGTCTGCAACGAAACCTACTTCAATGGTAAAAACTCTCAACGATCTCTTTTGTCTGTGCCCAGTATAGTCTGAAATAAAGTATCTTCATTAGCATCGTAATCCGTAAAGGGATGTCAGTCAGTCACTAAGTCTCTTACACCTGAGCCTGAAGTCTTTTATTCATCTGGGAGTATTTTTGAAAACAATTAAATACGTCAAGACACAATTGCGCGAATGTGATTCAGAACACATTATCCAAACTTTATAATATATAATGATATATATGTAGCTAATTGGTCGAGTTCATTAGTGACGTAGTTAGAAACTTAAAGTCTAAAAGCGAGCTCACTAAATCAGAACATCATACCAACTTACCCTGAGGTTTGTAACGCAGTGTTTCCTGTCTGACTATGACGTGTTGACTTCCGCCAGAGTTGGGTTCGATATGAACCAACCTCATTCCAATCTGTAGATGACCCTCCTGAAGATCAATTTAATCAACACTATGATCAGAATTAATTCACAACTTATGATCTTAAGACATCGTTACTAACGAACAGTTCAACATACGTTTAAATACTCAACCAATCGACTTAACAGCGACAGTGACCACAGTCTCACGGGTCGTTACAGTCCGTCATTATATTGGATTGTTCATGTGATTGCACTAACATCAACAGGCCCACAATATGCATGTGCCTACAAATATCAAGGTACTTACGAGATTATAAAAGTTTTGGGAGTCCGGTCTCTTCGTGATGAAAATGACTGCTTTGGTGCTGTAGTCGACATAAGTGGCCATATCCTACAAATATGAACAATGATAAATATAATGAATGCTTAAATTACACTAATACGCAAACGAATTGCGTTAATGTAAAGGTCTGGTGGAGGGGGGCATAGCTCTCCAAATTGGCAGATGTCTAAATCTACATAAATCATGACAATTTATTCATTGTCCAAAATTGTCCAATGTTACCATACCTCTCTCGAACGGCGAAGAAAATGCTGTCCGTCAGCTCTCACAGCAGACGTTGGCAGAGGCGGTACTTTAGTTAACTGCAATATCGCCTTCTCTGTGTCCCTTGTCAATTTAAATACCAGCGATGGCGGCATTTGACCCACCTCTCTCTGCAATCGTGTACTGATCTCGCCTCCATTTTCTACGAGTAGTTCAACGTTGATGGTTTCTGAAAAAAAGCAAGCTGGACAAAGCTAAAAAAAAATTCAATCGAGTCTTTGGTTTTACTTCTTTCCTTGTCGATTAATTGGGTATGGATAATCCGGTAAAGGTCAATGCCAAGCCAAAGGCATCAAGCGTCTGCGGTCCCTGTAATTCAGAAGCCCTATAGTAAATACTGCTTGGCTTTAACGCTATTTGCCATATGAAGACGAAAGTGCAAAAAAGTAATTTCAAATCATCATTATTCCCATTTAGGATGGTGCTTTTCGGATTATTGTATTTTATTAAAAATTTTGGTTGTCTGAATCCTACACCCGTCAATCAAAACAAACTGCACGTGCTGTGTATCGTTTTTTTTTTTTACAGTGTAATTACTCTGTGTTATTTAGGCCATATTACGGTAAATTCCGACTTAAAAAGTGGGTTATGAGTACCTTGTAGTGTTGCAACTTATTGTGTGAAGTGCTACGGATATTGTTACTCGTTTTTGTGGTGGAAATAGAGAGGGATTTGACATTTATTTGGGATTTCCCCATGTTTTATAGTCAAGATTATTTTGTCGTTTGTTTCCCTTTATATAAATGATGAGGACTGGATGCCCGTGAACTTTGTGATAATAGAAATATTGTGTGTGTGTTTGCAGCCAGCATTTTTGGAAGAAAAACTGAAAATATGTAAGTTGTTATGATTTTAGTGTTTAAAAAAAGCTGCTGAAAAAAAAATCATGTCTGCCAGTCCTTGCCTTGGAAACTTTGTCTTCCCAACCACTGTTAAAAAATTGTAAATATGAATATAACTTTTAGAGAGGTCGTAGTCCTCCTCGTTGAATTTAAACCAGAGAAAAAGTTGAAAAAGGAATGTCTGTATATTTTGGGAGTATTCAAACCCTTCCTTGCTCAAAGAAGAAATTTGGATAAGTCTGTACATTCAGGGCTTCATGACCCCACATTATGTTCGCTCATCCACATGTAATATGGGCTTTTATCGCCCAAAATGCTTCATGACCCCACATTATGTTCGTCACTCTACATGGATGTCCGCTCATCCACATATAATATGGGATTTTATCGCCCAAAATTAACTTACCAATGTAACTACCATGTACCGTATAAAATACACATGCCAAGAGCAACAAACAGTTAGTAATCCACATTTTAAGTTTTATAATGGTTCTGAAACCAACGCAGACTTGTGAACATTTCCTTCGATTTTTCAAATTGATAACAGCCCAAAAGAGGTCTGCTGAATGTGCCTCTATATTCCTATGTTTTAAGGTCTCGATACTCCGATGACTGTTAGTTAGTACAGTTACTTGACAGTCCACAGGGAACTCCTTAAAATGCAACTAGATTTAATCTCCGATTTTAAAAATACCAATTACAAATTAAAGCTGCTAAAATTAGAAGTTCACAAGGGTCCACAATCCGAAAGGCGTCTCCTTAAGGTGAACCCAAATACCAGCCAGTTATTGCCCTACATTACTAACTTATTTGAAAATAACTATTACAAAGTATCGATTATATGGAGTCATATATTGTTAAAAAAATATTCGGTTGGTACACTTTGCCACATGCCATAATGAACTATTACAATCCTCCCCTGTGTTGTAAGCTTAGTCAATCATCACGGTTACATCCGGGTAACTTTGATACCAACATAAAAGAGGTCTTTCGTGTCCATAACGTAAATTCGATCATATGATTGTAGACAGTGTTCCTTAATCTTTAAAAAGTATATTCTCTACCAACTAAAATTAATGACGAGAATATGGGATAGTGGAAGCAACGGTTAGATGTGATAAACGTCGTACACCGTTACTGAAGGCACATATGTCCCCTGGATGCCTTGGTTCCTTTGATAAAGGCTTTGAGCATAATATGGTTGATAATTTCCCGATTTGTCTGAAGAGTTTCGGGCATGAAAGGTACAACATTCATACCGTGTTTATTGCTTTTCTATTGTCAAGTATATTGGAGAACATCCCCTGTTAAGTCATTGATATTTATATATTTTGGGTTTAGATTGTCCTGTGATAATACACATGTTTTGTGGACGAATATGTATTGAAAGTCTTTTTATCAGGCTTTTTATATCGACCTAATGACCCTAGATATGTTTTCGTATTGTAGAATATCCTTATTTTTGATTTGGCGACCCTTTTCAATGAAAAATTTTCCCTGATATTTCAAGTCAAATAATTAAGGAATTTATTTAAAATTTGTAAATTTATCATTTTTTCAAAATTCCCCTGATAGCACTTGTCAAATACTATAAGAATTTGTCAAAAGTTTGTGATTTTATTGAAAAATGGTCGCTAAACAATTCAAGATTAAATTATGGTAGAAACGTATAGCCAACGTATAATAACGGTTCGAGACTAAAAAATGTTTTTCATTTTTTCAAAATTCCCCTAATAGTACTTGTCAAATACTATAAGAATTCGTTAAAAGTTTGTGATTTTATTGAAAAATGGTCGCTAAACAATTCAAGATTAAATTATGGTAGAAACGTATAGCCAACGTATAATAACGGTTCGAGACTAAAATTTTTTTTTTTCATTTTTTCAAAATTCCCCTGATAGTGCTTTTCATATACTATAAGAATTCGTTAAAAGTTTGTGATTTTATTGAAAAATGGTCGCTAAACAATTCAGGATTAAATTATGGTAGAAACGTATAGCCAACCTATAATAACGGTTCGAGACTAAAAAATGTTTTTCATTTTTTCAAAATTCCCCTGATAGCACATGTCAAATACTATAAGAATTCGTTAAAAGTTTGTGATTTTATTGAAAAATGGTCGCTAAACAATTCAAGAATAAATTATGGTAGAAACGTATAGCCAACGTATAATAACGGTTCGAGACTAAAATTTTTTTTTTTCATTTTTTCAAAATTCCCCTGATAGTACTTGTCAAATACTATAAGAATTTGTTAAAAGTTTGTGATTTTATTGAAAAATGGTCGCTAAACAATTCAAGATTAAATCATGGTAGAAACGTATAGCCAACCTATAATAACGGTTCGAGACAAAAAAAATTTTTTTTCATTTTTTCAAAATTCCCCTAATAGTACTTGTCAAATACTATAAGAATTCGTTAAAAGTTTGTGATTTTATTGAAAAATGGTCGCTAAACAATTCAAGATTAAATTATGGTAGAAACGTATAGCCAACGTATAATAACGGTTCGAGACTAAAAAATGTTTTTCATTTTTTCAAAATTCCCCTGATAGCACATGTCAAATACTATAAGAATTCGTTAAAAGTTTGTGATTTTATTGAAAAATGGTCGCTAAACAATTCAAGATTAAATTATGGTAGAAACGTATAGCCAACGTATAATAACGGTTCGAGACTAAAAAATGTTTTTCATTTTTTCAAAATTCCCCTGATAGCACATGTCAAATACTATAAGAATTCGTTAAAAGTTTGTGATTTTATTGAAAAATGGTCGCTAAACAATTCAAGATTAAATTATGGTAGAAACGTATAGCCAACGTATAATAACGGTTCGAGACTAAAAATTTTTTTTTCATTTTTTCAAAATTCCCCTGATAGCACATGTCAAATACTATAAGAATTCGTTAAAAGTTTGTGATTTTATTGAAAAATGGTCGCTAAACAATTCAAGATTAAATTATGGTAGAAACGTATAGCCAACGTATAATAACGGTTCGAGACTAAATTTTTTTTTTCATTTTTTCTAAATTCCCCTGATAGCACATGTCAAATACTATAAGAATTCGTTAAAAGTTTGTGATTTTATTGAAAAATGGTCGCTAAACAATTCAAGAATAAATTATGGTAGAAACGTATAGCCAACGTATAATAACGGTTCGAGACTAAAATTTTTTTTTTTCATTTTTTCAAAATTCCCCTGATAGTGCTTTTCATATACTATAAGAATTCGTTAAAAGTTTGTGATTTTATTGAAAAATGGTCGCTAAACAATTCAGGATTAAATTATGGTAGAAACGTATAGCAAACGTATAATAACGGTTCGAGACGAAATTTTTTTTTTCATTTTTTCTAAATTCCCCTGATAGCACATGTCAAATACTATAAGAATTCGTTAAAAGTTTGTGATTTTATTGAAAAATGGTCGCTAAACAATTCAAGAATAAATTATGGTAGAAACGTATAGCCAACGTATAATAACGGTTCGAGACTAAAATTTTTTTTTTTCATTTTTTCAAAATTCCCCTGATAGTGCATGTCAAATACTATAAGAATTCGTTAAAAGTTTGTGATTTTATTGAAAAATGGTCGCTAAACAATTCAAGATTAAATTATGGTAGAAACGTATAGCCAACGTATAATAACGGTTCGAGATTAAATTTTTTTTTTTCATTTTTTCTAAATCCCGCTGATAGTACTTGTCAAATACTATAAGAATTTGTTAAAAGTTTGTGATTTTATTGAAAAATGGTCGCTAAACAATTCAAGATTAAATCATGGTAGAAACGTATAGCCAACGTATAATAACGGTTCGAGACAAAAAAATTTTTTTTTCATTTTTTCAAAATTCCCCTGATAGTACTTGTCAAATACTATAAGAATTCCCTAAAAGTTTGTGATTTTATTGCCAAATGGTCGCTAAACAATTCAAGATTAAATTATGGTAGAAACGTATAGCCAACCAAAATAAAGGTTCGAGACTAAATTTTTTTTTTCATTTTTTCAAAATTCCCCTGATAGTACTTGTCAAATACTATAAGAATTCGTTAAAAGTTTGTGATTTTATTGAAAAATGGTCGCTAAACAATTCAAGATTAAATTATGGTAGAAACGTAAAGCCAACGTATAATAACGGTTCGAGACTAAAATTTTTTTTTTTTCATTTTTTCAAAATTCCCCTGATAGTGCTTTTCAAATACTATAAGAATTCGTTAAAAGTTTGTGATTTTATTGAAAAATGGTCGCTAAACAATTCAAGATTAAATTATGGTAGAAACGTATAGCCAACCTATAATAACGGTTCGAGACTAAAATTTTTTTTTTTCATTTTTTCAAAATTCCCCTGATAGTGCTTTTCAAATACTATAAGAATTCGTTAAAAGTTTGTGATTTTATTGAAAAATGGTCGCTAAACAATTCAAGATTAAATTATGGTAGAAACGTATAGCCAACCTATAATAACGGTTCGAGACTAAAATTTTTTTTTTTCATTTTTTCAAAATTCCCCTGATAGTGCTTGTCAAATACTATAAGAATTCGTTAAAAGTTTGTGATTTTATTGAAAAATGGTCGCTAAACAATTCAAGATTAAATTATGGTAGAAACGTATAGCCAACGTATAATAACGGTTCGAGACTAAATTTTTTTTTTCATTTTTTCAAAATTCCCCTGATAGCACATGTCAAATACTATAAGAATTTGTTAAAAGTTTGTGATTTTATTGAAAAATGGTAGCTGAACAATTCAAGATTAAATTATGGTAGAAACGTATAGCCAACGTTTGACGAATAACGGTTTCTGTAGGCGTTATTGAAACATTTGTTTTCTTCGAGCAGATTGTAAATAGAGTTTTAACGATTTCATAGTCTTTGTTGATTTTTATTAGTCATTTTGGGTTAAATTATATTTTTTACATATGATTTGCTTCGTTGCACAAACGCCAAGGGAATTTTTTTTCAAGTCAATAATTGCTATTGTGGAGACTCCTTTCTCCACTGTTAGTGTTAGATTTTTTATTATACTTTCTTTTGGTTTATATTTTGATGAAATTAAAACACATAATTGACTTCCTTTGGAAAGGCATTTGCCTTATTTGCTTTAATTATCCTTCGACTGCGTCTTTTACTTTGCTGTTTTAAACTTGAAGCACCAGACAATGACGTTCTTTGCTTGGCGTCTTATCCATAAAATCTCGAAATATAGGTTATTGGTTTCATTGGATCATCTGGCCATAATCAAAGTCTCGTGCTTGATATATCATCCCTAAAACCATGTTTAGTATTTATTGTCCATAAATTCTCTCGCTTGGTGGCTCAGCCGTTAAAACCTCCCAAAATTTTGCTTGTATAAGCATAAACTGTCCATAAATCTTTTGCTTGGTGTTTCAGCCACAAAATCTCCCCAAATATCGCTTGTGGGAGGGTTATTTGTCCATAAACGCCTTTAACTGTATTGCACTAACTCGACTGTGTTGAT